ATAGACTACAGTACCTCTCGCTGCTGTTGAGTTAGAACAGAGTCTTAGTTGACCCCTGGCAGGTCTTTAGAGGCTATAAATCACATGGGAGGAGACTACCCACCTTTCTCCCTTGGAGCAGCTGGTACGTTTGTACTGCTTGCCTTTAGGAAGAAAGTGCAACTCCTTACCTCTAGGCCACAGGCTTCCACAGTCTAGTATGTTGTTGCTGTTATGTGCTGTCGAGTCATCTGCGACTCATAGTGACTGTACGTACAATAGCCCTAAACCCTGCTCTATGCTGTGCCAGCCTTCTTGTCTCTGACACATCCACCCCCATTATCCCAGTGACTGAATCAATCCATGTCATCAAGGGTCTTCCTCTCTTGTGCTCCACCCTCCCAAACATGATGTCCCTCTCCAAGGACTGGTCTTGCCTTGCAATATGTCTAAAGTATGGTAGAGCTTCAGAATCCTTGCCTCCAAGGAGCAGCCTCGTCTTACCCTCTCGAAGACGAACCTATTTGTTCTCCTAGCAGTCCATGGTATATTCAATACTCTTCTTCAGCACCACAGCTCAAAGGCTTCAATTCTCCTATCATGCCTAGTCATTGTCCAGCTTTATGATGCATAACAAGTAATTGTAAAGACCATGGCCTGGATTAGGTGCACCTTAGTCTCCAGGTTGACACGGTTGCTCTTCAGTACTTTGAAGAGGTCTCTGACAGCAGACTTTCTCAGTGCAATTCATCTTTTAATTTCCTGGCTGCTGGTACCAAGAGTGCTGATTGTGGGCTCTCAGCTCCTCGTCTATCCAGATTGCCCTCCCTTCTCGTGCAGCCTCAGCCACATCCCTGAGACATGATGGTTAAGGTCAGAGTAAACAGATTTGGCCGCACTGGGTGCCTGGTCACCAGGGCTGCTTTTAACTCTGGCAAAGTGAATGTTGTCGCCATCAATGACCCCTTCACTGACCTCAACTATATGGTCTATATGTTCCAATATGATTCCACCCATGGCAAGTTCAACGGCACTGTCAAGGCTGAGAATGGGAAGCTGGTCATCAATGGGAAAACCATCACTATCTTCCAGGAGCAAGATCCCGCCAACATGATGTGGGGTGATGTTGGTGCTGAGTATGTTGTGGAGTCCACTGGTGTCTTCACAACCTTGGAGAAGGCTGGAGCTCACTTGAAGAGTGGTGCCAAACGGGTAATCATCTCTGCTCCTTCTACTGATGCCCCCATGTTTGTGATGGGTGTGAACCATGAAAAATATGACAACTCTCTCAAGATTGTCAGCAATGCCTCCTGCACCACCAACTGCTTGGCTCCCACGACCAAGGTAATCCATGACAACTTCAGCATTGTAGAGGGACTCATGACCACAGTCCATGCCATCACTGCCACCCAGAAGACTGTGGATGGCCCTCGGGAAAGCTGTGGCGTGATGGCCGTGGAGCTTCCCAGAACATCATCCCTGCATCTACTGGCACTGCCAAGGCCGTGGGCAAGCTCATCCCTGAACTGAATGGGAAACTTACTGGCATGGCTTTCTGTGTCCCCACCCCCAATGTGTCAGTTGTGGACCTGACCTGCCATCTGGAGAAAGCTGCCAAATATGATGACATCAAGAAAGTAGTAAAGCAGGCATCAGAAGGGCCCCTCAAGGTCATCCTGGGATACACTGAAGACCAGGTTGTCTCCTGTGACTTTAACAGTGATATCCACTCTTCCACCTTTGATGCTGGGGCTGGCATTGCTCTGAACAACCACTTTGTCAAACTCATTTCCTGGTATGACAAGGAATTTGGCTACAGCAATCTGGTGGCCAACCTGACCAGTCCCAGCAAAAGAAAGAGAGAGAGAGACCCTCCTCCCACACACTAAGATTCTCACATCCTTGACACAAGTTTTCACCAAATCCCCCTGAGAAAGGTGAGGGGCTTGGAGAGCCCATCTTGTCATATAGTACATTGTCATATAGTACATCTTGTCAATAAAGTACATTGTACTCACCCCCCCAGAAAAAAGGTGTTGATCGTGAAATAAAAGGGGCTGAACTTGTTCAGCATTTCTTAAGCTGAAGGAACTGAGAAACAAATTCAAGCCTCAAGTTGTAATAGTTCAGGATGCTTTGGGCAGAATATTAAATGATCCAGGAAGCATTAAAAGAAGATAGAGAGTCATTGTACCAAAAGGAATTGGTGGACACAGAAGACTTTCGTGAAACACACGAGCAAGAGCCTGTGGTGATGAAGGAAGAAGTTCAAGCTGCTCTGAATGTTTTTTACTTGGCAAAAAACAAGGCCCCAGGAATTGATGGCATAGTCTAGTATACTCAACTTTTTTATGTGCTAGAAAACAAACAAATTCCTGTAGCTTTCTTTATTGAGATATTTGCTTTCCTGCAGTGGTCTGACACAAAGCCAACTCAAGCCAAGGTGTGCCTATACAATTACTCCAAGATTGCTTCATGACACCTTATCTGCCACCATCACTTAGCCACTCAACTCCAGTGACAGCATACTTCTCTCAAAATGTTGTGTAACACCAGGGCCTTTGCACATGCTCTCCTCACTGTCCGTCCAGAATTTCCAGTTCCCAGAAATGTACACAGTAGATCTTTATTGTTCTCTTGATCTCAGCTCATATAGACCCTTATTTGACCATGTGACTTGAAATAGCACCTCTCTCCCCATCATTCTATACCTTCTTGTGATTTTAAGTTTCATCATTTAATTATCTTCCTCATTTATGTTCATGATCAGATTACTGTCTCACACATGCTCCCCACTACCTCTTAGTTCAGATGCTCTCCCAGGGGCCTCACCTCTTTTGTCTGTTTTGCTCCCAGCCTCCATGATCAGAAGCTGTGCTGCCAACCTAAAGGCTCAGAATTCGAATCAGCTGCTCTACAGGAGAAAGATGGGCAATCTCCTCCCACATGATTTACTGCCTCTAAAAACCCTCCGGAGAGTCATTAATGGGTTAGTTCCAATTCAACAGTACATAACAGCATCAACAACCCCTAATAGTATCAGACATGCTGTAGTCACTTAGTGTTTGCAGACTCATGGAATCTTTCCAAACCACAGCACTGCTAGTCTCAATTCCTCATTTGTAAAATAGGGATCGTGCCACCTAGTTGCAGGATGGTCGGAGGACTAAGAAAGAAGCAAGCACTGGGGCTGGGAACACTGCTGCCAGCACACACCAAGCTCTCCCTCAGTGATCATCAGAACCCAAGAACCAGACCCAAAACAGGGACGGTTCCCAACAGCCCTGGAGCCAGCATGTAAAGGCTGGACTTGAAAATGACTCCCCGCCACAGGCAGCCTCTCTCCCCTCAAGATTTCCAGAGAGTAATCATCCCGTTGGGGAGGGGGCACTAGCCCACTCGGCCCCCCTGGCAGCTGGCTGAGGCCCAGGCGGGAGGCTCAGGCAGAGGCCCACAGCGCATACCAACCAGCAGCCCGCGTGCCCTGTGCGGGTGATGTCTGCATATTGACGTTTGAGCAAAGAACACAAACACATTAAATAAATGTTACGGTATTATCGACAGGAAAAGGAGTGCAGAGAAGGTCTCCAGAGGGAAGGCACTAGGCTGGGAGCTCCAAGTGCTGTGGTCTCCCCGCTGTCTGTCGGTGTCAAGATCCTAAAACATTGCAGAGCTGCTAGGAGGTATTGCAAATAGCACCCAGACAGGAAGTTTCAAAGGGGAGTCTATATGGGCGGTGGTCCACAATTAGCATTTCTCAGCATCTCTTTAAAATAAAATAAAACCGTTAAGGTCATGACCACGCTGTTGAGTATCTGCCCAGCACCCCCAGTCTCCTATGTTCAGGTTATAACATCCTGATGGCTCTTTTAAAGTCCCAGATGGTGCAAACAGTTCAAAATCTCAGCTGCTAACAAAAAGGAAGGGGATCTGAACCCACTCAGAGGTGAGTTGGAAGGAAAGCCTGGCAATCTACTGGAAAATTGGTTGCTGAAAACCCTATGGGGTCCAGTTCTACTCTGACAGCAGGGGGTCCTCATAAATCTGCACAACTCCATGGCAACTGATAATGCTACTCATAGGACTGTCAATCAAAGTGCCTTGGGCTCTCTGACAGCCAATCAAGTACTCTCTCTCTGGAATATGAATCCTGAGGGGAAGGACATAAAGGATGCAAATAGTGGGATGCTTTTCTCCATGGAGGCAGCATCCTGCATCTCTCAGCCTCTACCCTGAGACTACCCACACCCTACCAATGTATTACTGCTCAGCACAAGTTGCTACGACTGACTCCTGAAGCTTCAAGCTCCAATCTCACACAGCAAAAGGTTCCCTGTGGAGCACAGAGGAAGGAATCCTGGCAAGCTGCATGTAACTATGCACCTGGTATGGTCCAAAGAAAATCATCTCTACTGTTAAAAACTCGTCCAGATGTTCTCTTTTCCAAGGGGCAAGAAAAAGGACCTGGTATGGTCCAGTTTCAACGGGGGAGATGGAGCAATAAGACAGAGGACACATGGTCCCAATAACACAGAAAGGAAGATGCCCACAGCCATGTCCTCTCTTCTACATGAAGGAACTGTTGGTGTGAACCATCAAGTTGGAACCAATTCACAGCTGACCCTCCTGTGGGTTTTCAGAGACTTTAAATCACACGAGAGGGACTGCTTATCATTCCCCCATAGAGCAGCTGGTGGATTCAAACCACCTGCCTTTGTGTTGGCAGCACAACTCCTTATCCACTGGGCCACAAGAGCCCCCTTACAAGAAAGTACCGCAACTGCAGCAGCTTAAACTGTATCATTACGTATGGTAAATCATGAAAAACAAAATCATACAAAACACTTCAGGGACTTAGGGGAAGAACACAAAGCCCCACCAGAACCAAGCTCTTTCTCCAGCCTCTAAGACGCTTCTCTATTCTGGGTTAGACAAGGAAGAATGCTGTCTCAGGGCTAGCCTTTCCCCGCCCGTGGCCTTGCACCCCGGCCAGCCTGCCAAGCCTGGGCTGGACAACTTACCTTTTTCTCATCACCATCCTGCAGGAGGTGCAGGGTACTCCTCCTCTCACCCTCTTGCTGTCTCAGGGAGCAGCCGTGGGGCTGGGGCAGGCTTGAGGGTGGGGAGGTGCTGCGGCCCTGTGGGTCCACCCAGGTGTAGATGTGGTTGGTGATGTAGCCTCCCGGGATGCGCCCTGCTGAATACACAGACAGCACCAGCTTCTTGGAGCCTTTCAGAGCCTAGAGAAAGAGAGGGGCACACAAGTTAGGAGGAGGTGAGGAACACCCTTGCACTGACCAACCGTGCTTGTCCTCAGGACTCCATACTCAGAGCAAGCCAGTCCCTGAGTTCCTGCCCTAGCCAGTCCTCAGTTTTGTCCTATGGAGATAGGAGCACCTGCTCATCCATATTTTGAAATCATTCATATCCCGAAACAGGATCTCTCAACATGCCTGTGTAGAAAGTCAGCATTTCAGGCCTGTGACTATTATCCTCAGAAAGTCCTGCTTATGCTTGATGTTTTTCATGACAACATCATGATAGACTGAGAAAAGAATAAAGTAGTCAATGATTTCATTTTACTTAGACCCACAATCAACACCCTTGGTAGCAGCAGTCAAGACATCAAAAGACATGTTGCACTGAGAAAATCTGTTGTCAAAGAACTCTCCAAAGTTCTAAAAGAGCAAGGATGTCAGTTTAAAGACTAAGGAGTGCCTAATCCAAGCCATGGTCTTTTCAATTACTTCCTATACATCTGAAACTTGGACAATGAATAAGGAAAACTGAAGATGAGTTAATTCTGAGTTGTGGTATTGGCAAAGAGTACTGAATATACAGTGGACTGTCAAAAGAAGAAGCAAATCTGTCTTGAAGGAGGTGCAACCAGAGCGCTCCTTGGAAGCAAGGCTGGTGAAACTTCAGCTAACGTACTTTGGGCATAGTTGCAGGATCAGTCCTTGGAAAGACATATCATGCTAGGAAAGGCAGAGGGCCGGCAAAAGAGGAAGACTCTCAACAAGATGCAGTGACCACCACAACGGGCTTGAGCTGACAGAGATGGCACAGGATGGGGCAGGTTCAGTTCTGTTGTTCACAGGTTCCCATGAGTCACAGTCAACTTGATGGCACCTAACAACAACATGAGGCTTGAGTCTGGGAACCTGGATTTGGGGAGTACTCTCCTCATTCCTAAACAAAACAGTTCACTGTGGAATGTTTGCACAAATAATGTACTGTGTGTTGCACACCAGTATTCCTCCTGCCAGTGAGGAAGGCAGGAACAGGCAGAGGGTGCCTGTGTGACCAGGCCCCAGTGAAAGCCCAGGTGCTGAGTCTCTGCATTTCTGCATGGTACGTCACATTGCCTGCTAGAGGAGCTGGGGGTGTCCTATGGGATTCCATGGGGACAGGACTTCCACAGACTTTGCCCCATGCACCTCTCCTCTTTCCTGCCTGATTTTGCCTTGTGTCCTTTCACTGGGAGAAGCTCACCTTTCACCATGAGTACGACTGACCATATGCTGAGGCTTGGAAGCCTTTCTGAGAATCGTCAAGCCTGTAGCAGTCTTAGAGACCCTGACCCAATACCTGATAAGAGGGTCAAGAGATAAAGATATTGGCAATAACAACAGCTTAAAGTTAATAAAGAGCCTGCAGGGCTGGACCTGTACTCTATGCCTAACGTCTACTAGCTCACAAAATCCTGATGGAAGCCAGTTTTGTAGGCAAGAGTACTGTTACTGAGACGGAGTTGTTGTTGTTGATTGCCGTCGAGAACAAAAGGCCTGAGGCACCATTACACATGACTAATTAACCATTCCTTTATCATAGTTAAGTAATTTTGAGTGTAGATACTAATTCTGTCCCACATCTTCCTGCCTAAAGATAAATAAGCTCAAAGAGAGAGAAGTCTGAACTCTATGGCCTGGGAGAACGCTGAGAGGAGCCATCTTCCTTTCCCACATGCACCTGAAGCTGAAATGCAGCCATTTTTTCAGGAAGACTGGGAGCTTGAGACAGGTGTGCTGCTAATTCAAAGACCGTGCCTCCCTGGGGGCTGCAAAAATGGGTATTTCCTCGGGAGAAAGAAAAGAAAATCTTTGTCCATGTGAGTTACAGCTTTGGAAAGTCGAAGGAAGGTCAGCCATGAGTCCATTCTTATTTGAGTTTTAAATTTCAGTCTGGGACACAAGGGTACCTGGGTGATGCAAACAGCTGATGCACTTGGGTGCCAGCCAAAAGGCTGTAAGTTCAAGTCCACTCAGAGGCTCCTTAGAAGAAATGTCTAGCAAACTTTTAAAATGAATCAGCTATTGAGAAACCCTATGGAGGATCATTCTATTCAGACACACAGGGAATCATTATGAAAATCAACTTGATGGCAGTTGGCTTTTTTACTCAGGGAAACGATCCCCTGAGTAGCAGCTCATGCTGTTAGCATGAGGATTAGCAGCAAATGTGCCCCCACACAGGGGGCTGTTTGAGGAAGTGATGGTATCGACACACACTGAATTTTTATGCTGCTCTGAAAATCATGTTTCCAGAGTCTATAATGTCAAGAAAACATGGCTATATTTTAACATTAAGTGAGGTCAAAAGGATATGAATCATGACAATAGTGGCACCACAGTTATGTTAACAAAACGAGCCACAGAGGGGGGAAAAATAAGCTGAGAAGCAGCCTGCCAAGATGCAAACAGAGCTTCCCTGGGTGGTAGGCTTGCCGGCAAGAATTATTTGGCTCTTCCCATTACTCAATATTTTCCAAACACTCCACAAGGAGGGCATTTTGGTTTCATTTTCTACATATGTATATACATATGAAATAACAGTATGTTTTGAGAACACAAGGACACTTAATTCTCTGGCTACCTCCTGCTTGCCTACATCTGCCACTCAGTTCCACAGACTTACAAATACTCTTACTAGATAAGACAGGCCTATGGAACAAGGACAGAGCTGGTAAAGACAGTGAGGAGCCTTGCCACCCAGGTGCATGCCCAGAGAGCCACCTGGCTACAGGTCTGACACAGTGACATTGGAGCCAGTGCCCCATGGGAGAAAGATGTGACCCATGAGGTGCTGGTTTCTCCATGCCAAATTAACTGCCAGTCCCAGTGGAGGAATAACAAGAGGATGGCAGCTCTCCAGAATTCTGGCTTAAGACAGATTTTTGATAAGATGAGCTGGGAAAGATTTACAGTGTTCTTTGAGCGTTCCCTGGAGTTCTCCTGACAGAGTCATCAGGAAAACAGAAAATCTCTGTTAAGTTGGAGATGCATGATGGAGGAAGCCCAAGACGGAGCAAGTGTCTGCCAGAGTGGGTGGAAAACAGGTCCCCAGAGCAGAGGTTGACAGAAGTCTCTGAGGCCACACCCCCTGGGTATCTGCACCGATTCCCTTCCCAGGGTGTCCTAGTCCTAAGTAGGAGGCTGTTCCAATTTGCCTGTCTCCTCCTCCTCCCCCTGCCTAGGCAGTTGAGCCCATCATTCACTCACTCAACAAGGGTTTTCCTGAGGACCTTGGGTTCTGGTGGTGCCACAGGGACTTGGGATGCTAAACTAAACCAAAAGTTGAGCCTCTCTGGTAGTATGAATCCTGGCTGCTCCTTGGGAGAAAGATGGCCATCTCCTCCCTTGTGATTTAGAGCCTTTGAAAATACACTGGAGAATCAACTAGAATTCTCTTTTAACTTTATGACAATGAGTCTGTTAATTTTTCAGACTGGGTGTTGGGTCTGGGGACACAAAACAGGCATATCCTCCTGATGTGGATAGTCTGCTGAGACAAAGCTTCATCTGGCATACAGGAGGTCCTTGGAGGTAAAAACTGGCCAACCTGGCCAGGGGATCTAACAAATGTTGTGAGAGATTATGTTTCCTAATTCTGATCCACAGGAACCATGAGACAGATTAAACTGTCTCAAAGAGTTTTTCCTTAGCTATAATCTAATGCAGATGATTTAGAGCTTTCTCTCACAGTATAGCTCGCTGGGTTTGAACTGCTAACTTTTTGGTTAACAGCTGACTGTTTAACCACTGCACCACTAGAGCTCTGGGTAAATAGTGCTCCAAAGAAAGCATAATATTCACAAAACCGTCTCTACAGTCACCTTGTTTATTTGACTTCAAAGCCTGCACTAGATTAGAGAAAGACATGGAAGAAAACAGATTTCAGAGTGAGAACTGGATTTAAGTTGTGTTTCTGCGCCTGTTTAGTGGAGTGTTTCAGGGGCAGTCACCTCTCCTCTCAAAGCAGCATGGGTGAAATTGAGAGAAGAGACGGTGAAATGCCCCCCTTTTCCAGATGTGTGGATTAAATGAGATAAGGCAAAAGAAGCCTGCAGCCCAGAGCCTCTGCACACAGTAGGAGCTCAGCACACAGCACAGCCCACTCCCCTTACCTCCCTGGAATGTCTGCATCAAGAAAGGAAACCACAACGCAGAAAAGCATCACCTAAGGAATGCGAGAAGAAAGTGAGTGAAAGAACAGGGGGAAATGTGTAGCGCATCATTTGTATTCTTTATCGCAAGCAATAGTTGAATTCTCCTGGTCAGTTCTATAAATAGGCAAGCACCAACCTTGAGATCGGAGAGAAGGTTAATGCCATTGACGAGAACACCATAGACAGCTGGTGCTGGAGAGGGCCTGGGAGGTCATCAAGCCTCCCACATACTGCCACCCCCATGTGCTACAGAAAGGGACCCTGAAAACTGAGATGGGAAGGGACAAATTGCGGGCAGGTATGAGAGACACAGCCCAGACCCATGATGTGCGGCCTTGCCAGCCCTTGCTCTCTGCACCTCAGTTCCCCCATCACAAGAGAGTGGGACCAGAAGCTGTGAAGACCACGCATGCCCGACCTATACTGGGACCTCTGACACTGGCTCTTCTCTGGGAAAGAAACATGGATTTTTGCATGTCCTGGAGAGCATGAATATCATTATCCTGTGCTGCCTTCTTTGTTATTATTCTGGCACAACTAAAGGAAAACAAGCTTCCTGAAATAGCACTTTCAACATCTAAGCAGGTTCTCGGATTATGATCTTGGTGCAGTGGCCATTAGAGCCCTGCGGGCACCTTCCACTGCCCTTTCACTTAGCAGATACGTATGTGCATCACAGTGGGCAGCAGAACAGGAGAGGAAGGGGTGGCTCCAGGAGCTCCTGTCTTGCCTGCTTCTTGCCTCTACTTTTATAAATAACTGCTTGCTTATTTTAAAAGGTAGCACTAATTA